TACTGATGATTTCCCTGGTTAAAACCGCTTATAGGCACAGAAATGATGTGTGATTGTAAGTTGTACTTTATTTTTCAACATATCCTCTGATGTACATTCATTGTAAAACTTGTATTAAAGTGAAGAATTGTTCATTTAACTTGTGCTCCGTGCTGCCGTTGCCTGAGGCAGATAACGCGATCTATCCCAGACTACATTAGACTTTGGAAACTTTTATTAGTTTTTTCCAAATTTGTTCATAAAAATGCCTTCAATTCAGAGGACATAGAATTTAGTAGGTGCGCAACTGAATTGTTCCTAGCAATAATAAAAAAGAGGAGGAGCGCAGAAATAAAACCCCGTCCTCTACTCAATTTTCCGTTTCAGTTGGAAATACGCCACCACACTGAAATCCAGTCGGCAGCAACTTCCGGTTCACACGGACTTTAAAGTAAATATGTCAGCAAACTGTGCTCTTTCAAAGATGTGCATTTAATGCATGGCCAACGTAAGAACATAATCTAAGTGTTTAAAACATGCAAAGAAGGATTGCCAACTGTTGGCCAACACATTGCCAATGTGTATATATTATACACATAAGCTGTGTCTCATTTAGAAGGCTGTGCCCTCCGGAGGTCGCATTCGAAGGCTGCATACGTCATCGAGGCTGTCTCACTTCAGAAAAGTAAGTAGGACACTCCGAATGCGACCTTCTTTCACAGGAATTCGGAGGATGCATGAGGTGTATCCTTCGCTGCTACAGATAACCCACAATTCTTTGCGTCGCCGTAAACAACCGTTGTTAATTTGAAAAATGCCGGCGCCGGCAGATGTGGTGTTTACAACTTACCTTAAATCACCTCGGTAAAAACGGATAAACTTTGTTTTTAAAATCCTCCTCCTTTTTTTTCTCTAACAGATGTCTGTTGTACAGTACGCTGCAGCTCCTCAGACATTGAACAAAATAAAACAAGTAAAAACTTTTTTTTTTCAAATTACTTTCCAAATTTAGAAATAATTTTCCTTCATTTAAAGGGGTCATATGATGCGATTTCAAGTTTTCCTTTCTCTTTGGAGTGTTACAAGCTGATTGTGCATTGTCCAGATCCCTGAAGTTGCAAAACACAAAATAATGATCTTTAAAAAAGTATCATATGACCCCTTTAAGTAGTGTGAGAGCGCAACCATGCTCTAAATGTGTTGGCATAGCAACGTGATACTTCCTGTTTCCTTTTCCGCCTGTCCTACGAAGGCCGTCTCGTTTAATTCTAGGTTGAGGACACATTGTATATGCATCCTACAGAGGATGCGACCTCCAGAGGATTCGACCTCCGGAGGGCGCAGCCTTCTAAATGAGACACAGCTATAGGCTAAATAACAGCAAAAATATTTTGACTGTCCCTTATACTGGGTTGCTTATACTTTATTATAAGTATAATTATGACAATATTACAATATTTTTGGTCAGTTTATAATGTAATAAATTCCTCATAATGTAATAATTGTTATTACATTATGAACTCAAGATTTTATTACATTTTGAGAAAATTATTACATTATGAACATTTTATTACAATAATAATGTAATACTTATTACATTATGTGCAGTTTTTACATTATGAGTTGCTACAGCTACATTTTGTTGAAGTGTGAGATGGGAGAATTGCACTGATTTTGAACTCTGTTTGTCTCCCAACAAAAGTGTGCGTAAGGTGTCGATAAAAATGTTCTGGCAAAGTTTGACCAGTTTGACTCTATTTGACCCCATGCAGATGGTAAAACTTCCCCTCCATAAGGAAAGGCTCACAAACACAATATATCAAGCTGTGTTTCAAAGCAGCAAGGGCCAAATTCACGTCTAACCTGAGATCTCACATCCTCACGCCTGACGGAGCTACAACTGAGATCACGGCTCCCCTCTGCCCAGCACTATTATTCTCACAAACCTCTCGGCAACAGGAAATCACTCAGGAGTGAAGGGAGTGTGTATGTGTGTATATCTCTCTGCGTGTGAGGCTTTTGTAATGAGTATTGACGTGCATTCTGTAGGACTGATCCATCAGGAAGCGTTGAGAGGACACAGACTCTCTGATACTCTATAATAGAAGAAGGCACCTTAATTACAGTTCACCAGGAGTCATTAAATCCCATTCTTCACTCTCAAAACACACACACTCACTCCATATAGCATGTGAATGACTATAGTTTATTGAAACTGATATTATTGAGGGTTATAGACACAAAGGCTGTTCATAAAGGGGGTAATGCCATTGAAGAACTGTTTTGGATACCCCAAAGAACCTTTCAGTAAACTGTTCTTAAAGGAGACATTGGATGCCCATTTTCCAAAAGTTGGTGTAATATTTTTTTGGTCTTCAAAGGGTCTTCAGCGAGGTATTAGTGTAAAATAACACCCTCTTTACCTTGTCAAAAACAGCTCTGTTCACAGCGACCCGTTTCGGTGCATGTCCCTTTAAATGCTAATGAGCTCTGTTCACCCTGTCCCTCTCTTCCCTTCTTGCTTTAAAGTCACCTTTCTTATTCATGCAGTTATAACTGCTCAAAAATGATTTAAAATACATTTGTAAATAACTTATTAGTCATTAACAAACACCTTTATAAACCCTCTACAAAGGTAATATTAATGTAGTGTTACCATGTTATCGTTACAGAAAACGTACACTGTTTGTAATAAGACAATCACCTTAATGCATTGTTCATTATAAACGTGTGGTTATGAATTATACTGAGAAGGTTCTAAATAGAAATGACAACACAACAATGTTCTCTGAGACTGTTAAGCCGCATTCGTCATGGAACTTAATAGCACATTATTTGGAAAGTACCATGGTAACGAATCATCCTTCAGGAACAACGTTTTAGCAAAAACCTGCTTTGTACTGACCCTCATTTACAAAGCAATCTGGTGTAAAATGATTCGCACAAACATAATTGCATTTATCGGGGCACATTCCCTTCAAAAACAAAAGTAATCAACAGAGTCTTCAGCGGCTCAGATGTCGGGAGTAAATGACGACTGCTATGTTCATTATTACATCCAACAACAGAACACCTCAATCGCTTCGAAACAATGTCAGACTGTTTACAGCTCACTCAGGGCAAGTGTGTGCTAAAACGGCAGTGTCCATCAACAGTCGTGGGAGGGGCCTTGGCAAAGTCATGTCACTTTGCCCAGAATCTGTGAATGGCTTGCTCTGAGAAAGTGCTTATCATTTGTGGGGATTAAAAAAAAAAAAACAAAAAAACACTGGGTGGATTTTTATCATTATAGAGTGGTTAAGTTCAAACACCATGTAAAAGTGAAATTTGCTTCTTATAGCATGAAAAACATAAAAAAAAAAAAAAACTTTTTTAAATTTAAAGAAACTTTTGTGCGATGGAAAGGGTCCATGGAGGGTTACTCATGGAACCACAGATGCCTTCATATTGTTGGCAGCTAAATAAGTTGATTTCTATATGATTTCTAAAAATGCTGTGAAGTTATAAGGCCCAATCCCATTTCTACCCCTTAGCCCTTTCCCCTCCGTTTCACGCGTTCACGTGAAGGGGTAGGGGTGTCTCGATTCTCTTTTGGTTGGAAGGGTAGGGGAAGGGCCAGATAGCCCTTCAAACAAAGATTTTTCGGGACCACACTTCAAACGAAGGGGTATGAATTATCTCAGCGTAAACTGGCTTCAGCGGCAACATGGCTGCCCGAGCAAACAAAAAGACACATAAATGTAAGCATTTTTCGCATTAATAAAGATTTTAACGAAAAGTAATCATTTGTTTTGTTACATTCAATCGTGAGTTCATATTTACGGTCATGTTACTCAAAGAAATGTTTGCAAAAAATCGCTAAAGTTTGCTAACGTCATATCATTACTGCACGATAGTACCACAACATATTTTCATGTCTGATCAGGGCGATAACCACCGTAGACATTGAGGGGGGCTAGTCCCCCCAATAACTAGAAATCGCTAAACCCTTTTCTCGAATATTGAATCGAATATAATTCGAGAGAGAGAGAGACAGAGAGATGAAAGGTGTGTGTATGCGCGTCTGTGCATTACTCTTTTTAGAGTGAGTTTACTTCAAAAACAGCTATTTTATCCTCTCATTGCTGGAAAATATAATGTAGCGATTCAGTATTTAAACTGTTATTAATAAAAGTCGTGGGGCAGCGTTGACAAGTTTCTTTGCTCCTGGATGTGTGAGCTGCGCGATCTCTGATATGTGTGTGTGTGTGAGTAAACAGCATATTAATATAGAACGGTAATTAAAGGCTCTAATGCACACCAGCACACCAGTATAGGTGTGTGTATTACAGGAGCTAGACGACGTATGATGACGTGTGACGGTGTAGTAGTGGTGTCCCAATTCTTAGGGGAATATTTTCACTCCTACCGACCTGCGGTCCCTACGAGGCAAAAAAATATATTAAAAAAACTAAATTATGTTTATCTGAAAGTGTAACAATGCAAACAGGTTTTCTGTAAGGGGTATGTTTAGGTTTAGGGTTAGGGGATAGAAAATACCGTTTGGTCAGTATAAAAGTAATAGAAGTCTATGGAAAGTGTGCACGTGTGTGTTTTTGTGTGTTTTTGGGTGGGGCATAAATGTCTGGGAGATACTACTATCTTACATAATGCAAAAAAGCCTCATTAAAACAATGACATTTTTGAAAATAAAACCTTGTTGTAACATATCACTGCTTATTAATAACGTATCATTGCTTATTATTATTATTATTTAAAGATTTGTTTGACATTTTCAATAAATTTTAACTTTTTGAATGCAAAGGTTTTTTCAAAACCATATGAAATCAACATGAATAGAAAAGGTGCATTTCTAAGAACTCAGCACATGTGTTTAAAAGGAGATTTTTTATGAGATTTTTAAAAGGTATTCCTTTACTTTATCAATGACACTTTTATTCATCATTGACCAGTATAATGGCTGTCTGGGTAGACAGCTCACAAAGTTTGATTCTAAGTGTTCAAACATACCTCAACTAAGCTACAGAGAAAGAATTACCATTATACTGACATTCACGACAAACGTCTCATAAGGTGTGGGCAAGAGATCAAAGATGTGCCGCAGGTTTAGCATAGTAGCTGTACAATACTTGCAGCTCAGTGAAAAAAAAACTTGGTGTCTTACAATAGAGACAGAAGAAGAGAAAAATTCATAACCTTTACAATATGTTTCTTTGGTGTTCTTTTCACTTAGAGTCAGAGAGAGTGAAAATCCTTTGTTTGAGAGATGCCCACAGCCATCCACATTAAGACACCTGTGCGCAACATTTGCTGCCGTGTGGCTGATTGTAGTTGGTAATAATCGTAAAACCTGATTCTAATTTTCAAAAGAGCTGGCGTAAGGCCTTTTGTTGGAACACACTTTCTGTGATCAAAGGGCAGAGCTGACATCACATTTCCATGCAAATTGGAGCTGTTCAGAGCACTCTCCCAGTCTTCCGCTTCCAGCTGTTTCACTTTTACTCACGCCGTGTGTGTGGTCTGGTGAGACTAAGCACATATAGGTGAGATTTCTCACTTGTAGAGTAATGCAGACTTCTCTCTTTGTTTCCCCAAGGTTGTGGATTTGATTGTACCACCGCTGGCGTCTCTGGCCTTCAGTAAGAACGGTGAGAACACACTTCAGCTGCAAATAAGCAAACACAATTATACACTACCAGTCAAGGTTTGACACATTATTCATTCTTTTTTATTACTATTGTCTACATTTTTGAATAATAGTAAAGTCATCAAAACTATGAAGTGGCACAAATGGAAGCAAACAAATTGGATGTTTCTTGGGTCCTGTGGACTGAGACGCTCATAGAAACCATTTCTTCTTATTATTATTATTAGTAGTAGTATTATTATTATTATTCTTTTCCTTTCTTTTCTTTTCTTTTCTTTGAATGTTTTCCAAAAGTTAGTAATAATAACGCAAGAATTGTTTGCTTATTTATTTATGTAAATAAATATATTGATAGGCACATTTTTGCATTTGCCTATATATTTCAAGCATTAAAGCGTAAACCGTTAGAACAAAAGGTTTTTTAAGATCATGAGAAACATAAACACCTTTTATCTTTAAATAAGAGCTACGAGTATGTTGATTTACATTTATATTTGTGCATCTATGTGTGTATATAAATATATACACACATAGATGTATATATATTCTGTACACACAAGTATGTATATATACATATTAGGGGTGCAACGCTTCAACTTACTCACGGTTCGGTTTGTATCACGGTTTTAGAGTCACGGTTTCGGTGCGGTTCGGTATGTGCTATGTTTAGGGAAAAAACTATATTGTCAAATAAAAATAGTGAAGATAACAAATAATCTTACTACAAGCAACAGCACAAATAAATACAATAGAGCAAAGATACAAATAAAATAAACAGTGCTTTTCAGGTTTTTTAGGTAGGTCTAACATTAGTTTTTAGGTACAGAAATTGAA